ATCACCTTACACGAATTAGGGTGAATACATCTCATTACACTGATTTACTGGTAGTCTCGAAACCCTACTTACTTACGAATAAAAGTTGCATTTGCCATAGCGATCGACTGTGACTTATTTGTATTCGTTTATAAGCTGGCTTCATTCGGCAGGCTGAAGAGTCAGCATTGGAAAAATGGAAGAATGTGGAATTCTGGGAAAGTGAATGAAGAGAGAAAGGCCTTTTGACATGGACTTCTTTATGACCATCTGCGACTTTTGTGTAGAGAAAAAAACTATTCGACTTGAATTGTCTATGCGCATTAAATGTCATTTTAAATAAAGATATTTTCCACTCTCATCTGCGCAGTGAATGATAACGAGATGTTAGCTTGGCTTCTGCCAAAAAAATTATCCATCCGACATCTTCATTGTCTTGCTGTCTTGCTGTCTTGCGTGTAGTAACCTTGGCACGGTATAGTCGTCTACTCAACTGCCAGACGAGTGTGAAGTATACGGACAGCTAAATGTCGGCTTTTCTACTCGGTTGAAAAGCTGTCGTGCCTAGATAATTGGTGAGGACTTACTTTGCTGAACCAATTGCTCTAGTACTTCCGGCAAGTGTGGACCCTGAAAACTAACCGCCAAAAAGGGAGTGCAGTTCATCTTTTCTGATGGATAAGTTTATATAAGCAAGAATGTTGTGATGGCATTTAGTTCTGGATCAGGTATAGAGCATTTACATACCATTTTATGTTCTATGCTGAGCTGGGAAACTCTTAATAATTATGTGATCTTCGTTTTGATATAGAATTTTGCTTCAGAAAGAAGTATTACAAAAAAGAAGTGATAATAAATGAAAACATATAAATGAGATATTTTAATAACTGTTAGTAATTAAATGGATAAAAGCAAAAAATAGAAGAATGTTGAAAAATAAATAAATAAATATGAATAGAATCAAGTAATTAATAAAGTATTATATAATAAAATTCAAAACATGCCATATTTGAAGCGATAACAAATAAATGAGAAAATATAAATAAAATAAAGAAATTAACAGATGAATAGATACAAATTAAACGAGGCAATTTATAAAGGAATGATGCTAAAAATCATTGTCTAAAAGTGGTTTGACCTTTTTTTTGGCAATTTGCTGGTATTTTCAGGGCGACCTAGATTAATGTACCTTGTCCAGAGTCAATAATATCCATGATGATTTTTAGTATCGGCTTGGTACATTACCATGCACCGTAGCGACACTGGACATTATCATGGATACTATGGATTCCCTGGGAATATGAACAAGTTGCGTCAACGATGTCATACCACTTCCATAAAACGGGAGCAGTCCGCAGCCATACTAAAGACCACACCATTTTGGCATTTGCAACTTCGATTGAATTACAAATCACAGCTTATCTCGTTGGAATTTGGTCCAACATTTCAGCATGAGTCCTCTTCTCTGCGAAGATTAAATGCAATCGGATACGGCTCAATTGAAGGCCGATCTTGCCCATTTCCGTCTCCAATGCTGTTGGATTTGTTGGTGCAAACAAGAAAGTGACGAATGAGCCTGAATTACTCTGAACGCTGTCATGTGAAGTGTGTGAATGGCCAGGTCGACCGGCCCGGACCTGGCCGACAGCTAGGCTGACCGCAACCATCATGAAGCTGAAAGTGGACGGCTTCATAGGTTGGAAGGATGAGGTTGAAAACTGTTGACTTTTCCCGCATCCCTCTACTCCAGGACCCTGTTATGGCCTAGCTTCTATTGAGTCTTACATTGACTAACGCATTTTTAGACAGCCCGATGCTTTGATAGCATCCATCCTCCTCATTGTCATCCAGTGACACACAATAACCTTTAGCAACAGCCATATCTGACCATCTCCTATCGTTGATGATTAACCAGAATGTGATGGCGTAAACAGCGAAGCTTGCCCTCAAGCCTCAGTTCCATCATCACTTGTCGGGAAACATTCAGGCTATCCACTTTTAGTAACGTCTTTTTCGGCAACTTTCACTCTCAATTCACTCGTCAGGCTGACCTCGGCATAAACATGAAAAAAACATTTGATGAATTTCATACAAGTGGCATCGTAACAACCAGTCAAGTAGTTGTAGCGAGGATCCGGCAAAGGTACTTAAGAGGTTTTTAGGCAAAAACGAGCCATTTGATGTAAAACAAAGTCGTTGCCAAGACGACAAGCGCTTGCGTAGCTACCTTACACTGGCAATAGCAGTGAGGTGTCTGCTGTTGCTCCAAACTTCCGGACAGGGGCTATGGCCAATGTTTAGTGTAAAATACTGGAGGTATCCACCGGCTTTCATTAAAGGTGGAGTGTATCACAGTATTTTTTTACCTTTAGGGCATTGGATCCAAGCCCCAACTCGCCGTCAAGAGGAATAATGGAGCAGATGGCCCCTTGGTACCATAAGAAATGATGGTAGGCGATTCGAACCCAACAAGTAAGAGTAAAGTTTCAGAGATCAGCGTGTCTCACCTTCAACGGCAAACCGAAAGTGTTTGTCAAGGAAACGTAGTGGTCAAAGTGTCGAGATTATAACCTGCACTGTCAGGGTTCGAGTCCCGCTGGGGGGCTGATGAGGCCAGTTCAGGTGAGGTCAAAACTTCATTTCATTAATGCTTGGATGAGAATATCTTTTTGGAAGCAAAGTTATGTTAAATTCAACGGAAGCGTAAAGTCTGCTTGTATGATTTTAGGGAAATTCAACTACCAGTCATTGCTCGCCTTAAACGAAATAGGGTGAACACATCGCAACCATGCCAGACGGTATTGACTCTGGACTCACAAGTTACGACTGGCGTTTCGAAACTGTCAGTAAAGTAAGGTTTGGATAAAAGATGATAAAAAACTGATAGTTAATAGTATTGTGAAGACTGTCCTGTTGTATGAAAGTGCATTAAGAAGATATTCGAAAGTCGATCTCACCAAAAGACGACGGCTCATTCCCGTTGTACTGCCACCATTTGGCTTTAATACGACATTCACGTCCTCTTTTCGGGTGAAAACTGGCTGGGCTTCGTCCAGCATATCATGAATATCATCAGAAATGGAACTACATGTTAGATGGACTTAACTAACAACGAAAATATACATGCATTGGTGGGAGGACATTAGGAGTGATTTGGATGTTTTTCTTTTACATTGCTCATGCTACTTTTACTTGTGCATACGTGAGCGTTAACTTCTCTACACAATACCAGTTCTAACTCAGTACAATTTGCTTGACCAACATGAAAATAATTAGCAAAATCATTCTATTTTTATCTATGCCAATACATTTGGGTTCGTTGATTATGAGTATATATAAGAAGTAGGATGGAGCTGGGCAGTCTTCTTGGGCTCGTGTTAACGTTAGACTTTTACAAGAATGACTTTCAGCTCGGGTTATGTCTGTCGCATGATGGACGAAAGGTCAGCCCGTTGTTACCTCGAATGAGTGGGGATGCCTCGTGCATGGCGTCAACCCGAAGGTCGTATTGAGGCAAAACGGCTGCAGTAGAACGGGAATCGGCTGTCTTCTTCTGGTCAAGTCGAACTTCCATTTCTTCTTAATGCATTTTCTCATCAAATTAAAGTCTTTTGACGATTGCTTGTAAATGGTACCTACTGGCTCTGATGATGTCCGTCGCGTGGTGGACGAAAGCTCAGCACGGATGGCTCGTGTCAGTAGGACAATGAGCCGACGTCTTCTTCGCGCAATTCAACAGACTCGAGTTCAAGAAAATCATAATTCGGTATCCGGTGGGGCCAATTTACGAATCGTTTCTGCCTACTTTCTCAAACGAAATGAAAACTATGCCAGTATCAAAATACTTGATGTCACATCAAAACTTGCTAGTGAATCCCCTTCCAGTAAAATGTATGTCTTTAGGTCAGATCGTTTCATCAAACACTTTCATTCGAAATGAAAGTAAACTCAGCACTGGCTAACTCAGAGTCTCCTCGAAACCAATTTATCGTAATATACAAAAG